GTTGCATGGGGTTGTTGTGATCCAAGTGCAGGACCCGGCACTTGACCTTGTTGAACCTCATACAGTTGGCCTTGGCCCATCAAGCCAGCCTGCCCAGGTCCCTCTGTAGATCCTCCCTACCCTAAAGCAGATCAACACTCCCACCCAATTTGGTGTCAACTGCAGGCTTACTGGAGGTACACTCAATCACCTTGTCCAGATCATGGATAAAGATATTAAACAGAACTGGCCCCAATATTGAGCCCTGGGGAACACCACTTGTGACCACCCACCAACTGGATTTAACTCCATTCACCACAACTCTTTGGGCCTGGCCCTCTGGCTAGTTTTTTACCTAGTGAAGAGTATGCCCGTCCAAGCCACGAGCAGCCAGTTTCTCCAGGAGAATGCTGTGGGAAATGGTGTCAAACACTTTTAGTCTAGGTAGACAACATCCACAGCCTCATCCACTAAGCGTGTCACCATGTCATAGGAGATCAGGTTAGTCAAGCAGGACCTGCCTTTCATAAACCCATGCTGACGAAACCTGATCACCTGGTTGTCCTGTATGTGCCACATGACAGGACTCAAGACGATCTGTTCCATAGCCTTCCCCAGCGCAGAAGCCAGGCTGACAGGCCTGTAGTTCCCCAGACCTCCTTCCAGCCCTTCTTGTAAATGGGCGTCACATTTGCTAACTTCCAGTCAATTGGGACCTCCCCATATTTTGTCTGCCTCTTCATCCTGGTTGAGTGGCCTATATCCCCCCTTCCAATTTATTATGACTCCAAAAGTCTTCCTTTGAGCATGTGTCTACAAATATCTGTACAAATATCTAATCTATACAAATAGCTGAACACCCAGGCAAGCCCCTGTGCAGGAGCTATTCCTTTGAAGAAATCTGACCTAATTTTGTAACCCTCCCTGCACCAAACCAAAAACAACTCATCACATTTATAAGACAGTGCCAGAAGCAACAACAATAAATGCAAATGTATTTGCTTCATTTAGGCTGAATCTATATTTAAAACTGTTTAACACTGATTTGAAAGATAATGGTGGTGGTTTTGTTTTTTGCATCTAGATTAATATATGGATATATTTATGTGTGGGTATATATTGTATTATTATTGTAATACAAATTAATGTAGCTTTGAAATCTTTCAGATTTTCTGACATATACTCTTTTTACACTTACACAAGCAAGCAGTTGTGATAAGGCTTTTGTGTACCCCATATACAATATGCATTGTAAGCACTAAAGCCTATTTATGGTTTTACAATCTTAATTGTCCTACTAGTCACCCATCCCTCCCTTCCTATCAGTTTTCCTAACAGAAAATGATGGCGTATTCATGGCCCAGAGAAGTTAGTGGTGATGCTTATTGGCATATTCCAGGTAGTGCTCTCTTGTAAATGAATTCTGACATTGCAACCACTAAAAATATTTGTTGGAAACACAAGGATTGGCCAATGAGAAATGCAGGAGAGATCAAAGAAAATCTGCTCTAGAAGATGATACTCTTACTTCACATTCTCAATCTCTACTATAAAATGCTTTCTGTTTAGCTTCACAATACTCATAGAGAAATTTGAATGTCTTTACCATAAGCACTCTGTTAAGCTACTATATTTAATTGGTCTTAATTGTCACAGAATTTAAGTTTTCCTAAGTGCTTTCTGACCGCTGAAAGCAACACAGGACTTGACTTGAAACGACAATCCTCTAAAAAAATCAAGGGGGTGCCAGTCATGTTTTCAGTTTTATTCAAGATAAAACAGAAGTGATACCTTCCCAATAAGCGGTGAAAATACCATGCATTTGAAAACTTTGGTGTTGGAATCTTGTGCATCAGTTTAATCGTTAACAATGGAACTGTATGAAACTGAACATGTCATTTGTACTCTGCAAGGCCAATAGAGCAGGAGGATCACAGCTGAGCTCCACTATAATCAGGGAATTGATTTTTTATACCATCTGAGCAACCAGTAAAACAGGAATAGAAAACATAAAATTAGTTCACATTTGCAAACACACTGGGAAGTGCCAAAGGTTAGTATATAAGTAGGCAAATGAAATATAAAATTTTTGAATCTTTAAATTAATTTAGAATAAATTTTTAAGAAACATGCAGAAATACCATTTCAGCATCAATTCATAGCAAACCCTGATCCACTTACAGTATTATCTATCTTCCAGGGGAAATAATTGAAAAATTTCCTATTTCTGAAATACATTCATTCCAAAATTGCAACTTTAAATTAAGAACAGGCTACTTAGAGCAATAAAATGAGAGCTCAGGAAAACACTTGCATTATGATATTTTTCTGCAATATACATATATGAGATTCTCATATATATGAAAATTAATACCTATCTTTGTCAGTAAAACATACTTTCCATGATTTCTATATTATTAACACCTGATACTGTCTGTATTTATACTTATCCTTCAGTTGGTCACAAACCACAAACTTCTATTCTCCCTCCCAACATTTACAAACCCTTTTCTGAGTATGAGAAGAAAATGCTTTGTCTGATTAAGCAGCAAAAGGTACCTCAGTTTTAATTAAACTGTTCAAGATTATAATATTGTCAAAAAAGAATGATTCATACAGGAAGATCAACCCCAACAGCATATAGGCTGACTGGTTGGAAGCTTTATCATGTCAGCAAACAAATAGAAGTTAAAGGTCTGCATTTTAATTCTGAGCTTCTTGTTGCATCCCTTTGAGTAACCATCTGAAATTTTTGAACAGCTTATTTCCTTCTCTCTCCCCAAAAGGAAAAGCAGTTCACAAAGGCATGAACATTTAAAGGATTATTTTCCACTATATTTTTTCTTTAAATCAAATCCCTCAAATGTTGAAAAGGAGGAAGGTAATTACTGTAACTGTAGAGTATGAACAAAAAAAACCCAAACCAAACACACAAAAGGAACAACAGACGAACATTTCATCGTAATACAGAAAATATGAGGAGGAAGGTAATTACTGTAAGTGTAGAGTATGAACAAAAAAAAAACCAAACCAAACACACAAAAGGAACAATAGACGAACATTTCATCGTAATACAGAAAATATGAAAAAAACTATCGGCATTAGTACCTTGCTCTCGCCATAATATGTTTGCAACTGCAGCATGTAAGAGAGAGAAAGAACAGAAAACACAAATGAACAAGAAAAACACCATGAGATGATATATCAATTCTGAAATAATTATGATGCTTTAATCTCTGATTTGCTAAAATAATTCTACAGGTAAATCAATGGAAACAGTGAAATAACAATAAGATTAAATAAAGTTCTCTGTCATGTGACAAAATTGTAATTAGCCATCATAGTTACGGGGGTTAGGGTAAACTCCATCACCCCCTGCTACACCCTCCCTCAATTTAACTTCATGAGCCTTTATCAAGCATATTTCATAATCCATTACAAAAAGCACATAGAGTTTGCATACACGTAAATATGTATATGAATTACAGGTGATGTAATTTTCGTAATTTCCTTTAAGCACCAGACTCTGAAGGTATTTATTTCAGGACATAATTATGAGAGAAACAAGCAAAACCAAAATGCATACAAGATATTCTTCTGTACTGCTGTAACACATCCATGCTACCAAAGTTGTTATGCTGTATAATTTTTGCCATTATCTTTGGAAGACCAAGATGGGAACTATAAGATGGCCTGGTAACCAACTAAGTGTTTAAGTTGTTCTTTCCATGAAAACAGAAGTTGTATTTGGCCAGCTTGTTTACAATTGGATTTTAGACCTTTGAGATCAATGAAAACTAATTATCCTAATATTTCTCTTTCTGCCTGTGGAAAATAAAAAGAAAGCAAGTATAATTTTGCAAATTTTAAATATCGAGAGATCAGCATGCCATGGAATAAATTGTTTAAAACACCATTGCTGAAAACCAAAGTGTTTTGTAAAGTAATGATCTTAAGAAATAGAGAAAAATTGAAAGGAAAGGAATACAACACAGAGAACACATATATGTCAAACATAGACATAATGAAAATATGACATTGCTTGAAACACAGTGTTGCAAAAACTAAAAACATTAATGTGTTTTAAAAAAAAGTTTGCAAAAAGTAATGGAAGATATTATTAAAAATTATGTTGTTACACAAAAGTCCCTCAGCTGTTGACCGCTCAAGGTTGAGAGTAGAAACAGGAACAACTATCACTCCAGAAAAGTACTGGATACTATAATTTTCCCAAGCATCTTTTACTGGGCTCTGCTGAAGACAGGACCAAGATGGACTTTTTGCCTCATGCAGTACAGCATTTCTCTCGTTCTTATGCTCTAAAAGAATATACAGAGGTCCAAATATGTAGAAGTGTCCTTGGGAAAAGTGTCAATCTACTTTCTGACAAGCTTATGATTTAGAGCTACAGGGCTCTGGTTTTTTTCTCTCCCTCTCCTCTACTATTTTTTGCCCCCTGATTTTTTTTCACAAATTCTCTCAACAGAGCTACCTCATTATGTGACCTTAGACACAGTATTTAAACTGTGTCATTCAGTTATCCCTTCATGAAATGAAGGTGGTGATTACTTTTTACCTTCAGTGTTTTGAAGGGTACAAACGAGAGATTCCTATGCTAGTAGAAAGCAGCAGTAATACTGTTGAAGTGATACTGAATACTAGAATAAAAAAGTTCCCCTTTTCCAACACAGAACATCAGTGCAGCTTTCAAACATGCTCAGTCTGTGTTTTATTATCTTTCAACCAGCTTAGTTCTCTCAACTATTAGGTGTGCATTATTTTCAAATATCTTCCTTGCCTTTCCTTTAATATTTGAACCGTTAGGATCCAATAAACTGCCAAAAGCCAAGATTAATGGAGTGTGCCATCTTGTCACTTACTCAGGCTGAGTAGTAAACCTTTACATCAGGAAGCAGAATTTCTGTCGAACTACAGCTAGTGTCAAAATGGAGTCAACATGTTTTAAATTTATTTCTCAGTCATCTGCCTTTATACTTGCTCTTCTGATTTCAGGCTGTTATTTTCAGAAGAGACTAGCTTTGAAAAGACTAGCTTGACTACATTGGCTGAGTATGTGTCCTCCAGACATCCAGATGCTCTGAATGAAACTTCTTGGTGACTAAATTGCTAACACCAGTATGACTCTCAGATTTATATCCAGTGCTGACAGCACAAAATGGATTTGGTTTACTGTATATTTCAGTGGCAGGCATGAACAGAGTATTTAACATGTCTATTCTAAATAACGCTTGGCCGCTTATGTTTGAACTATTTGATTATTCTTCTAAACTAGACCTCTGACTATAAGTTGCAATCATGAGATGGAATATTATTTTGATGTTTTATTGACAGCTATTATTTTTTAAATAAACACCTAATCAGTAGATCATCAGTACTGCAACTACAGAAAGAATGGGCTAAAAGGTTTAAGACATTTTGAATTATTTTAGTATAGAGAAGAAGAAAAAGGTGTTGATTTGTATAAAAAAAAACATTTAAGAGAGAACTGTATCCTTATGGCTTTAGAGCTACAGAAAATACTTCTTTTCACTGCAGGATGAAAGCAACTGAAGGCTCCCCAAAGATATTGCATAACCAAAAGGAGAGGAAATTGGGACAATATAGTCCTGTCGTTCCCAACAACTAAATGTGGCACCTGTTTTGCGAGCACTATGCAGTCAAGTCTTTCTGTATAAAAGCTGACAACTTCCAAGAGGGAATGCAAAGCTGCTTATGTTTGTTTCCCTTTGTCGAAGTGTCAGATTGGTCATTTGTACTTTGACAGGTAGGAGGAGGAAAGAAACAGCCCTGGGGTATGCCGCAGGTGACTGGCCTTTGGGGGGAATTTGTGGCACCGATCACAGCTTCGGGCCTGGCAGTTCAGCCAGTTTTCAATTCACCCCACTGTCTGTGCATCTAGCCTATACTTCGTCAGTTTTTCTTTGAGGGTGTCATGGGAGACCGTGTCCAAAGCATTTCTATATACAAGATAAACAACATCCACTCCTCTCTTCATCCACCTTGCCAGTCACCTGATTGCAGAAGGCTGTCAGGTTGACCAGGCATTATCCATGCTGACTGGTCCTAAACACATTTTTGTCCTTCATGGTTTTGTGAATGGTTTCCAGGTTATTTACTCCACCTCCTCCACAGGGATCAAGGTAAGGCTGATGGGCCTATCATGTCTTGGATTCTCCTTCTTGCCCTTCTTGAAGTGACACTGACTTTCTTCCAGCCTGTAGAAACCTCCCCTTATCAACATGATCCTCCGAAGATTATCAAGAGTGGCCTTGCAACGCCATGGGCCAGCTTGCCCAGGATTTGTGGGTGCATCCTATCCAGACCCTTTGACCTGTGAATGTCCAGTTTGTTTAAATGGTCTCCAATCTGATCCTATCTACCATGGGTAAGGCGTCCTTGTCAGAGAAAGACTTCTTTCACACTTTCCCACTGGTCTCACATTCCTGGGGCCAGTTTTGCCTGTAAAGACTGATGTGAAGATGACCTTCAGTGCAACTTGGTCCCTTCCACATCCTTTGTCACCAGGTCCCTGCCCCACTGGTCAGCAGCAGGCCTGTATTTCCCTTGCCTTCTTTTTGCTGCTGCTGTCTCTACAGAAGCCCATCTTTTGCCCTTTATGTCCCTCACCAGATTCAGTTCCAAGTGGGTTTTGGAAGTTCTAAATTTATCCCTGCATGCCCAGACAGTGGCTCTATAGTCAGGTGACAGTTATTTGTTTGTCTATGTCATCTTATATAGTCTTTTTTCTGTAATAAAGCAAATTAATTTCCCCAGGGCAACATGGAGTATTTCTTTAAATTAGTTTTCTCTTCACGTTGCGAGGAAAGAACCATGTAATATATGGCATTTGAGGTCCCGTAAATTTAGCCATAAAGTTTTACTTTTTATCTCTTTTTTTTTTTCTAGGGGTGACACAGGAAAGAAAATTAGAAGTAAATACAATTATTCAACTGTGTGGAACTACACAGCATCAAATGAAATGATTTAAGATGCTAAATACAGAACACATTGATTTGTGTTAATGCAAAATGATACGTATGGTTCTGAGCTTTGCTCAAAAAAAAAAAAAGTGGGATAAAAGAATGCTTTAAAAGCCCCACGCTTACTAATTTTAAAATTAACAAATCAGTTCGAAGAAATACTAGACATTATTTAAGAGTGCAATACAAAATCATAAATAACAGCCATCACCTCACCTCATCTAATGTAAATCAAGAAACCTCATGTTTTTTAATCAGTCCTATAACTTGTATTCAAGAAAGATGTCCAGTCTTGAGATAAAGACTGTAATACTGGAACAAGTACAACATCTGTAGATGGAAAGTATGCTAAGGAACATATTGTTTACCTTCCTTTTTAGTTAAGCAAAAATTAACATCTTAAGCTACATCCTATACTCAATTCTTACACATTTATAAACTTCAAGATGTAAAAAACCCTGCAATTATTGATAGATCTGAGTAACATTTTCTGGTATATAATACAGAACACCACCATCTTCTCTTGTGCCTTTTTCCCCTGATTTATAAAAAGAAGGGTATACAGACAATGTGCAGTTATTAAATAGTATCAGGAGGTGTACTGGGAGCCTTGCAGAAGACATTGTATTCAAGGAGTTAATGACCTTGGGCAGGCTATGTCTGCTACATTGGACCTTGTACTTAGCAGAGGTAGCAGCTGCTCACCGTAGTAACTTGTGCCACATGCTGGTGGGTGTTATGACAGAGATAACACTGCAACCTGTCAGAAGATACACGGTTTTGTTTGTTACACAAGATAAAAGCCACCACAGTATGGGAGGGAGAGGGAAGCTCACCATGGACAGGATCTGAGCAGCATGCCATGGGAAAATCCATCTGGAGCTCATCTGATGCTGCACAAATGCAGGGTGCCAAGCACCTGAAGGGACGTAAGATTTACTTGCTCTCTCTATTCCTGTTTTTATTCTATCTTATTTAAGCAGCTATTTTATTATACCATTTGTTGTTGGGCTTTTTATATTGACATCCAAAAAGAACGCTGCACTGTGCCTCTCTCCCCGCTGCCCCCCCCCCACCCCCCTTTTTTTTAAAGCACACTTACAGCTCCATAAAAATCACTCTTCGTGGTCCTTA